CCTATACAAGGAACTCATATTTAACAAAGATTTTCACCTAATTAAAAAATAAGGTGACTTTTTTTCTTTACAAATGGCAATAATCTGCACCTTACATAACTATAAAAGCATACTCCATAGAGGATACTTATCATAGAAAAAGAAAAATCAGACAACACAAAACAAATGGACAGCAGAAGGACAAAGGGAAGAGCTGGAGATAGCATTTGGAAAGCTCACACACAAGTAGCCTTCCAGGAAGCCAAGAGTACCAGGAACTTAGCACTTTCACCTGGGGGCAGTGGTGCTCTCTTGTCCTTTTCTCTAGCCAACTTTCATGTATATAAAAGTGTACAAAAAAAAAGTATACAAAAAGATCATAGTACAACACATACACCAAGTTCAATTTTTGAAAATCAAAAGCTTACAGTATATTTCTTTGCCTTTCTAAAAGAAATTCCCTTACTGATAGGTTTCGGACTATTCAAATATCCCAGCATCATGGGCTTCATTACTCTTGTCCACACCAAACATGTAAATAAGTCATTACTGACCTATCGAACAGAAATAAGGCCTAATAATTTTCATTTTAAGGTTAGTTTCTAAATAAAAGCATCCAAACTCCGGCTTTGAGTTCATTTACTATAGTTTTGCTTTTCAAAAACACTTGTATTCATTTGTAACACTTTGCTATTTTAATTTTCCTCTGTAAAAAGTTTTAGACCACTTGTTTATTTTTTGAGACAGGGTCTCACCATATAGTTCAGGCTGGCCTTGACTCACTATGTACCCCGAGCTGGCCTGGAACTCAGAGTGATCCTCCTGCCTCAGCCTATCAAGTATTGAAATTACAAATGAGTCCTGGAATTATAAGCCTGCACCACTACATCTGGCTGTAACTGCTTTTAAAGACAAGTTTAACATCTCTGACTTTGGGGGTGGTACTGGGGATTGAACTCACAACCTTGCATTTGTCAGGCAGGCGCTTGTGTCACTGAGCTAAATCCCAAGCCCTAAAGACAAATTTAATGCCTCAGGGGAAAAAAAAGTGACAGGAGTTTAGATTCAATCTTTCAGGTCTAAGTCACAAGTGTCTGCCTTAAACAGAGCAAAAATATCATTTGTTATAGTCTTTGAGTAGGTTTTTATCTAAATTTTTTTGTTTTGTTTATTGACACAGAGTCTCCAGTATAATTCAGGCTGGCCTTGAACCCACTATGTAACCCAGGTTGGCCTTGACTCATGGTGATCCTCCTGCATTAGCCTCTAGGGTGCTGGGATTATAATTTGCCAGTGGTAAACTGGGTACAATTTATCCATCCAGTTGTAATTCTTAGTGAGATAATCAACAAAATTAATGGACCTTTAGAATGGAATGTGGTATTATGAACACATGAGTCAGCAAAAGAATCTTGCCCTCACTTGTATTGTAAACATTTTTATTCCCATGACTATAGAATAAGATTTTAAACATGTGGCTGGGCATGACAGCATACATCGTAATTTCAGCTCAGGAGGCTGAGGCAGGAAAAGTGTCTGAAGTTCAGGCAACCTGGGTTATAATAAGAGTTCAAAGACAGCCTCAACTACTCAGTGAAATCCTGTCTCAAAAAACCTAAATAAATGAGTGAGTGAATGAATAAAACAAGTGAGAAAAACCAATGGGTAGCATATCTCAGCGGTATAGCACTTGCCTACCATAAATGAGGCCTTGGGTTCAATCCCCAACACCATCACCACTGAACAAACATTTAACAAAAGCATAGAGAGAAGGTAAGACCAGTGAAACCCAAAATTAGTGAAATGATAGGCTGGAATGGGCATAAGTGAGCTCTAAGTCATTAACGCTTCTACCATAGAAGGAAAGGTATATTTAAACTCCTCCTCATTCTTTTACGGGTGGAACCAATAGATTCACTCAAAGATGCTAACTATTAAACAAAGTAGTTTCATACTTTGCCTACAAAAATAAAAGGATCAAACTAGTGCGCAAAGAAAGTTAAACTGAAAGGAAAAAAAAAAAGCTCATTAGCTGGGCATGGTCATGCATGCCGGTAATCCCAGAGTTTGGGAGGCAGAGGCAGGACGATGGCTGCAAGGTAAGGCTGAACTACACAGTGGAGTTCAAGGCCAGCCCACACTACATAGTGAGATGTCTCAAAAACAAAACAAAACAAAACAAAAATGTCTATTTTGCCATCTGGGATTTGATTAAATCTCTCACTTTTGGACACTGCCAAAGAAATCTGTGGAATCTCCCCAAGTACCACAAAACATCTGATGTTTGGAAGCATCATAAAAAGTTATTAAAGTCATCAAATACTGATACTTCTATGAGACCTGGGCAATTCAGAAAATATTTGAGCAGCCAGCTACTTTTTTGCCTAGTAGTTATACATAACCCTAAAATTAACCATCTCCAAATACTACAAAGTGATATGGAAAACATCATTTGTCTTGAAACAGACATCTAAGCATATGAAAGAGGAAGTTAAAATTTGCATTTTAAACCAGATTAATTGTAAATTTCAAAATGTCTCAGTTTAAAGAAAAACAAGCCTGGTTATCTTATGTATTTGATATAATTTGAAACAAGTTTTATTTCTCTCCTTGAACTCTGAATAGTCATTTTGATTTAGGATTTTTATCCTATTCACCCTATGTTTTTACAAACTCCCATGCTCCCATATACAAAGTAATGTCAACAGTCAGCATCCTAAACCAAGCAATTTAGGGCTCTCAGAAAGCACCTATACACTGAGACTAAGTATCATTAATTAAAGATACAAAGGTAAAACAAGAAACATATGCTTTATAATTCTCTTACTTCCTAACAAGTAAAATACCAAAAGCCCATTCCCCTTACAATCCACTGGTGCTCCAAAAGCTCAATGAACAAAAAATCACCCAAGAAACACAAGCATATAAAGTGCTCACCATAAAAGACATTTCCCTGGAAAGGTTTGGTTTTTTGTTTGTTTTTGCTGCTATATTTCAACTATATGAATCCACTTGTTCATGGTAAGCTTTTCTAAAACAAAACCGTTTCTAAAACAAAGACTGTTTACATCTTAAGTCTTTGTTTCAGAAAGATTCCCTCTTCAAAAGCTACAACTTCTTCAAAGATTTCCCTTTTAGTGGTTATATCATCAGCAAATACTCCTAAACTCTTTCCATTTGGCATGATAGTTTGTTAAACAAAGGAGGAGGCAAGACCCCTTTACACAAAGGAGGTCTCCAAAACAGTCTTGGTTGTGTCTAAAGATATTTGCTTCTCTCTACTCCTTCCTCGGGCTGTAGTATAAAGTATTCTCAATACAAAATGGTGGCCATCATATCTGTCTGATATTCACAGTGGGAAGGGCAATACAATCGCACGTTTTGCAGAGTGCAAAATATGCTGGTCTAGATGAGGAAATGGGTAGCCAAACCTAACCACAGCAACACTATCTTTTTGTGAAAAGAGGTCTATGAAAAGCAAACAAGATAAAGGAATGTACCCTAGCCCTAGTATACCACAATACCAACATGGAGGACAACTCCCAAGAACCTAACTCTTCATTTTGGTCACTAACAACTCACTCAAATTTGCCTAATTTCTAAGTAAGGTCCCATTAACACAGATGTCTAATATTCATATTCGACTTTCCTATCATCGTACATAAAGCTAAATTGTTAAATGTTTGAAACAACCAATTCTTCAAGAATTAAAACCTTGGCTCTAACCAGCCCCGGTCTAACTTCTGCAGGCCTCTTTACACTCTAAAAGCAAAGTAGTGTACTCCTCTCAAAGCAACAATAACCAACCTTGTTCACTATACCAGAAAAAAGGAGGGGGGGGGGCCTATTTTCAAAACATTGCCCCTCTACTAGATGGTCACTTATTTCATCTCTTATTTGCCAACTTCTCCAAGAAAAACTCAAGTATGGAACCTTGTTTTTAATTGCGGGGGGAAGGGGTAGGGGAGGGAGGATAAGCAGGACTTATTCAGGGACCTCCCTTGAAAACAGCTTCCCAGAACCGAGGGATCAGCGAATCCCAGCAACTCCAGAGACCATTACAAAGAGCAAGTTGAAGGGGAAGGGGTGGGGTGGGGGTGGGGTCTTCAGGGCCGGAGGAGAGGGAGGCAGTTAAACCTCCTCCAACCGCCCCAGCCCGTCCAACCGTCGATCCGACCAACTCGCACCTAGACCTCCTCGAAGGGTGGGTGCGGGCAGTCCTGGGGAGCGCTTCGGCTCGAGCTGAGGGGCCGGGCGAGCCGGGCGGTCCCGAGATCGGGGCGTCACCACCCCCAGCCCACAGCCCCCAGCCCCCAGCCGAGGGCCTGACAGGGAACGGCGCCTCGGCTCGGGAAGGCCGGGCTGGGGCGCTCCCCTAGCCTTCCGAGGTCCGGGCCGCGACGCCTCCCACACTCCAGCTCCACGGCCCAACCTGCTACGCTCGCCGACCCCCGTGTACCCCGACACTCGCGCTCCCAAAACACGTCCGCTCCAGGCCCGGCCCAGGCTCCTCCCCGCCCTGGGCAACACCGGCCGCCCCACCGCGACCCCGGCCCGGGGGGCACCTGGAGGCTCAGGGCGCGCTGCGTGGGGGCACCCGGTCGGGAAGGTGGGGCGCCCAGGTGAGGCCCGCTCCGGGCCGCCGCCGCCACCACACAAAGGACCAGGGGCTCCCGCCGCCATATTGAAAACTTTCCTCCTCACACGACAACTCGCGAGTCCCCCGTCCCCACCCCCACCCCCGCACCCGCACCCCGCGACCGGCGGGGACCTAGCGCCCGGCCTGGCTCTAGCTCCACGTCGGGCTCCGGGGCTTACAGCCGGCCCCCGGCTCCTGCCACCTCCATCCGGAGCCGAACCCAACCGGCCGGGCCCCGCCGCGCTCCTCACCTCCCACCCGGAGCAGCCCCGAACGCGACCCCGGCAGCCCCACCGCAACAAGGCCCACGGGTGCCCCTGGCCGAGACCCGGCGTCCTCGCTCCCCAGCCCGGAGCGGGACCCGAGATGCTGGGTGACTCACCGGCGGCGGGCGCACCTTACAGATCCCGGTCTGCTCAGCTATGGGCCGGATCTTGTGGATGAAAGCGAAGGGGTCCGCGAACTCTTCCCAGCTGGGCTCGAAGACCGGACACTCAGGGGGCGGCAAGAACTCGCCCAGCGGGCCCGGGCCCCCGAGGGGCATCGCCGGGCGCGGGCCCGGGGGCAGAGCGGTGGCCGGGTCCATCCCGCGGGGCTGGCAGCGGCGAAGACGGGCTGTACGGGCCGAGCGCTAGCGACACCGAGTCCGACTTGGACCAGCAACGGCAGCACCTTGGGCTTTTTCCTGCGACGACGTCTTGCAGCTAACCCACGCCGTGCGCCTCCGCCGCCACGGCGAGGAAAAAGAGTCCCACCCCCACCCCCACCTACCCCTTGCGCTGAGCTCCCCGCCCCGCCTTCAATTGGGAGGGACCGGGCCTTCCGCCGGGGATGGAGTTTATCCTGAAGGTTCAGTTGAGCCAACATTTATTGACTACTTACTACCTATCAGAGTCCCTGCCCTTAAGAAGTTAATCGTCTGGTAGAAAGGATTAGACACATAAGGGGATCACTCAATCACGTCAGTATTCTGTGCCAGAATAGAAGTAAACACTTCGCAAGGCCCAAGGGGGCCAGAAACATGGGAAATGGAGGATTTTCTAGGTAGGGGAAACAGCTTCAATGTAAGAACAGCATGGATGTCACAAAGCAATAGTAATGGTGATGATAATCATTTCAACCAGTTGCATATCCTATATATTACTCTGCTTTGCATGATTAATCATGTAATCAGCACAACACTATAATATGTTACAAATATGGTTTACCTAGTTTGCCCAAATTCAAAGGACTACCATGTCCTATGCATACAGTAATGGAACCTAAATTAAGGCAGTGCTACTACTGATGAGGAAGGGATGCAAATGTGGGAAGTAAAATTAGGACAGAGAGATCAGAGAGGATCAGAGAGATAGACTGGGAAGGAACTCTGAGGTATGAAAAATGATTCATGTGCCTGCCATATTTGCCTGAGTGGATGGGCCCATTGAGGCATTCACCACGATGCTACTTCCCACAGAAAGTCATCCTATGGAAGAAGATCATGTATTTACTTCTGGACATGATGAGCTTGGTACATAGAGCTGGAAATTCCTAATAGGCTGAAGAATAAAAATCTGAAGGAGAAAGATCAAAAGTAGAGACACAATCTGGGAGAGCTCAGTGTACGGGTGCTGCCACTGTATACGTAGGGCAGCACTGTGTAAGGCATTGTTGTATTTCAGCTCATGAATCTTTCCAACAATACTACTTAGTAGTGCTGCTATTATCCCTGTTGTGCAGACAGAGCAGGCAGTGGAGACTCAGAGAGGTTAAGAAACTTCAAGAGACATGGATGCATTTGAGGCAATTATTTTAAGGGAGAGGAGTATATATGAATGTCTAGCGCCAAAACAGAAAGTTCAAAAAGTAGAACTTTGGCTGGTGATTTGCACTGAAGTTTTGTTTTGTTTTGTTTTGGTACCAGGCATTGAACTCACAACCTCAGGCTTGCCAGGCAGGCACTTATGCTGCTGAGCTAAATCCCCAGCTTAGCTGGTGATTTGGAACTATTTTTCCCACCAGCCTGCCTTCCAAAACAAAACAAAAAGGCAGAACTTCAACATAACATCTTTTATCCAGAAACCAGTCAAACCCCTTGAAAGACTGTTTGTTAGCACCTCCATAGAGTCAATGTAGCCTTAATCCTGTTTTCAGATTCACTTAAGAGGAAGTATGTACCTGAGAGGAGAGAATGAAGGCCTCTTTTTAGATAAAATCTCAGAGGTACTTTGGGTCCAAAAACGTCACAGTGATCCTTGGAGAAAGCTTTGCTGAGCTCTTTAGGGCTTTTTGGATCTTGATAAGCCTTTCCCTGCTCCCTGCTGCAACAGAGGCTAAGACAAAGTTGTCAGCTGGCATCCTATAAGAAACAAATCAGTGAGGAAGAAGATTAACAAGTTATAGTAGCAGAATCTTGCTCAGTGATAGTGAATTTCTTAGAGGCCAGTGGGCAAACTGCAAGCCAAAACCCACTTATCACAAAAGGCCAACACTGTAATTAAACCTGAGGTTTTAGTTAGGAAAAAAACCTCATACATTAATATCTTTTGTTTTAAAAGAAAAGTTAAAACTTTTAATGTTAGTTTTTATGCTGGGCGTGGTGATGCATACCTGTAATCCCAACACTGTGGAGGTTGAGGCAGGAGGATCACTGTGAGTTCAAAACCAGCCCGGGCAACATAAAAGTTCAAGGCCAGTTGGAATTGCAGAATAATACCCTTTTCTCAAAAAAAAAAAAAAAAAAAAAAAAGTACAGCTTTTTATTGAAAGATAGTTTCCATTAGCATGCTTATGCACAATTAATGTGACCTTTGCAATTATATGCATACTGATAATTTGTCAAAACTTGGCTGGTGCGACTTGGCTCGCCCATAGAAAGAGGCCTCTGCCTGCCTGCTGTGGCACTGAGCTAGGTAGTCGGTAGAGTGAAACTTGGAGAAAAAAATTTTAAACTTTGAATATTTTAATATTTTTATAAGACAGCGTTAGGGAGAGAAAACATTGTTGCTCTTTGCCCTGGCGTCCTGTAAGGTAAGAATCTTGCTGGAGTTGATTTTCCAACATTCGCCCTCTCTTGGGAGAGCACTAAGTATTTTCACTCTTAATGTTGGCATCCTGCAGGCCAGGTAGGTTTTAATTCTAGACATGCATGAATTGTGGCTATCTGAGGAGGAAAGCCTAACAAAGTCTCAATTCTCAGGTGTGTGCTGAACTCTCGCTTCCAACTCACAGGGTCCCCAATCCTGCTTCCTCCGTTTCCGGTAGAGACTCTCAATGATGAGCTGCTATTGCTTGCAGATCAGGCAGCAGCTGTTTGGTTCCGCTCGGACCCGATGTGACGTTAAGGGAAGAGGCGGCTGCCAGGCCACTAAGGGAACCCAGGAACCAACTGTGTTTTCTAGCGAAGGCGACCGCCCTCCTGCGGAGACGCTTCCTCTTGCCCTTTATGAAGTGTGTTTACATCGGCGGAGGGATCTATCTCAGCTGACAGCCACACCGCGCCGGCCCTTCTTTTTTTAAAGAGCCTCGACGCCGGCGGTGATTGGCCGCGCCCGGGCCGCGTCGGGCCCCCCGGGGGCGGGGCCCGTGCCGCATTGTCTTGTCCCGGGCCGCCGGACGCTCCAGAGGCTGACCTGGGCCACCCGGCCTGGTGGTGCCCGGCCTGGCTCCCCGAGGATCAAGCACGAGGCTGGGACGGGGCCGGTCCCGGTCCTGAGGGGAAGCAGGGCCCTGGCCTAAACTGAACCTAGCCTCACGACGACTGCCACGTCCCCACGAGCCCCCTCCTTACTCCAGGACGACACTCCGCCCCCGCCTGGGCCTCGGCTCCCCAAGCCACCTCTAGGTGTGCAGCTCCGGGCCCTTTGGACATATTTGTAGGGATCTCCATCCTCACCGTCCTACTCAGTCCGAAACTTCAGCCCCCAACCCGCTGAACCCGTCTCCGGCCTGCATCCCAGATCTGCAGCTTTGCCCCTGGGTGGTCCTGCAAAGGAGATGTCCCCACCCCGCGCTCCTTCCGGTCACTGCGCTGGGAACCATCGCGTTCCTGGGGCCCTAATTGGGGAGCAATCTTCCCCTCTTGTGCGCTACGGGGAGACTGGACTATGGGTCGAGGTCAGCAGCCCCGCTCCCCAGCGGCCGGGGAGGAGGCGGCGGCGGCGGCAGCGCAGCACGTAGCGCACGTGTGGGGCGATGCCCCGCCCCAAGGCCAGGCCCCGCCCCGGCCACGCCCCCGCCCCGCCCCCGCCCCGCCCCCGCCACTCGAGGCTTCGGGTTCTCCCGTGCGCCTACCTTGTCGCGTACTCAGGTCCATCCCAATACCAACTTTTCTTCTGCTGACCCACCTTATCTAACGACCTGTCTCCCCAAAGCACCGGCCACTCTCAGCTTTTATCTCCAATTCAAGGCCAACGTCTTCACTTCCCTCCTCCAGTACACGGGAATGTTTGGGGTCAGATGTCCCTTGGGGAAACCCACAAACCCGTGGGACTTGGCTCCCTTGTTTTATTCATACTATTCTCACTACTTGCTGCTGCCCCTGAGCGCCGCACTTGGAGCTCTGGCTGTGTCTTTCCTGCGGATGCCTTCGCCGCGGTGGGGTGCGGGGAGAGCTCTACCCTAGCACCGGGAGCGTGGTGAACACTCCGCGAATTTGGGTTACAAGAGAACAGAAATGGCCTTGAGTTTCTGGGGCTCCAATGGCGAGAATGGAGCTCGGTGAACAAGGAGAAGAATCTGCTTGCCCACGCGAGGCAGGAAAGACCTCACAACGATCAGAAGGCGAGCTAGGGGAGCCCACGAGATGGGGGGACACACAACTAAAATGACCCGGGCCGCTTCTTCCCTTGCCCCGCCCTCCTGTGCCCTCATCTTCCCTTGGCCCGGCCTCTTCCGCAGAACTCGTGCACCTTGCTCTACTCCACCCCCAGCCCACACCACCTCAAGCCCAGTGTTATCTCTGGGCTGCTGTCCTTGGGAGCTGGGTCTGAGTTGGAGAGGCACCAAATAATAGATACTTCTTCCCGCAGCTATCTCTACTTCCTTTCCCATCTCGGCTGTTCCTCTCCCCTCTTACCTCCCACCTCCATGTGACACCCCCCACCCCACAAGCCTCTACTAGAGCCACACCCCTAACCACTGCCCAGTCTCAAGTGCGGCGGCGGCGGGGGTGGGGGGGGGAGAATCTCTTTCTGCTGACTCAGCACAGGTAAGATCCTGGTAATGGCACCTCTGTCCTAAGCTTCAGCTTACCTAAATGTGGGGCCCAAAGGACGAGGCTCGAGCAGACCAGGCTTCAGAAAATAAGATGTTCCCACGGTGCAGTCGACCTGCCCCTGGGCTGGGGTGGCAGAGAAACCCACACCAGGGCTTCAGGGTGTGTTTCTTCCCCTTCTGGTTGGACCACTTTAGAAGCTTGGGACTCCAAAGGTGCTGAGAGGGAAACTCCCATGCAGCTGCAGCACTCCTCTCTGGGATCTCTGAGATGAGAGGCCCCTTGGCGTGCTCTGTGGCCCTGGAGATTGAGAGCGGTAATGTCTGGAATTCTCTGCATCTGGGATGGAAGTCTTTTTTTGGTGGGGAGGGTGGGCAGCGGCGGAAGTCTTAATTCGACAGGATAGAAACTGCCTGCAGTGTGGCCTGGGAACTTTACAGAGCTCCACTACATCCACCGTGCTTACTTGAGAGTCCACTTTCAACCATCTCATGCCCATGTCCAGCCCAGCATCATGTGTGATTAAATGTCACACACACCTCCTCCTCTGCCCTGGCAGGAAGGGGTGATATGTGAACAACTGAAAACAATGTTCTAACGTGTAAGAAGACCAGCTCACTGGCCAGCAGTAATTCACTGTTGTATTGGTCAGCTTTTTAATTGTTGGGAAAAAATACCGACCATACATAGCTTTGTGGAGAAATGGTTTATTATGGCTGTTTTTTGTTTTGTTTTGTTTTTAAGAGATTTCAGTCCAAGGTTGGCTGGCCCCAAGGCAGAAACATGATAGAAGGGCATGGCAGAGGAAAGCTGCTTACCTCAAGGCAGTCAGGAAGAATAAAGAAGAGGCTGAGAAGAAGGGAGTGAAAAAAGGATAGCCCCTTCCAGGTTATGGTCCCAGGGACCTACTTCCTCTAACCATGGCCTATCTCCTAAGAGCACATTCAGCAATGGTGCCTGGTGACCTCATCACCTGCCAAAAGGCTACCTCTGAACACATGAGCCTTGGTGGGGGAGAAAGAGGCATTTTTTCCCCCAAAGTCATTGTATTTCAAGGAAAAGAAGAGGAGGAGGAAGAGGAAGGAGAAGAGGAGGAAGAACAAAAAGACAGCAAAATTTCAAAACATGTTAATCGGGGGCAACAATGGTACATACGTTGTGCATTGCCATCACCCAGAGCACAAGACATCTGCATTCAGTTGTCTGAACAATACCAGCACAAATCTTTCTCTTCAGTGAACTCAGAAATCAGTAGTATGTATAACTATTTTAACTTTTTTATATACATATACATACAGGAGGGGCATTTTTGATCCAAACCATAACAGTCTCCTGGACACACCAACCCTGTGAAGTATATGATATGATTGTCAGCATTTTTGAGATGAAGAAACAGATTCAGAAAGAGTCATCATCCAAAATCACACAGATAACACTATCAAAGGTAGGACCAGAATGGCAATGCTAGTGCCTGCCTTTCATCTTCCCCAAACATAGGCTGACCTCTGTGAGGTTCAGGAGAGAGACTTGAAGCTCTCACCTCACATCCATGTCCTTTTAACCTGCCAACATTGACCCTGTCTCCCCACTAGACCACAGTGGCCCCAAACTTTGCTTGTTATCTCCAGAACTTTTGTTTACATAGTAACAGCACCAGACCTATAGGCAGGTTGAGTCCCAGAAATCAATCTTGCAACCCATAATGGACTACAACCCTCAGTTTGAAAAAAATACTGCTCCAAGGTGAGGAAATTTTTTCCTACTTTGGGAAGCTTTCAAGATGTTCATAGATGTACCAGAGGGAGGACCAGCTCAAGATAACCAAAAGATGATGACTTTCCAAAAGCCAAGCACAAGGGCCTCGGGGGAAAAAAGTTCTGGCAACATGATCTTGGGCTTTTAGCCTCCAGAATTAAGATAAGATAAATTTCTGTTCTTCAGACAAATCCCTTAAACCAGTATCTATCCCCCCATAAACACACAGAATATGTATATATGATGTATATGAAAAGGGTACACACATCCACCCACCCTAACAGTGGTTCCATTTCCTTGGAGAACTCTGATGAATTACAGACAAAGAATGAGTCCTCCCACTCATACCAATCTAGTTTTTTGTTTTGCGACAGAATCTACTGTTCCAGGCTGGCCTTGAATGTGCAATCCTCCTGCCACAGCCTCCCAAAGTTCTAAGATTATAAACATGCATCAGTCCATACTCAATCTTGAAATTCAGCCACCATCCCCTTCTTCCCACCCTCTGAACATTGTCTATATGATGTACAAAATCAATCATTATATTTAGCTCTTTGGTCTGTGTTTCATTGTTGACTATTACCTTGTCTATACTCTTCTGCTTATTTCCCATCTACCGCTGGCTGCAGCTCATCAAGCCAGAGATCACTTTGTACCCATATTTGTAGCACTTTGTGCCAAATGGGTGCCAAGCATAAGACTGGCTTCTAGCAGAGAGTCTTCATGTCTTCTAAAATTTGACTTAGAGCAGGGATTGAAAACCTCAAGACAAGCGAATGAGTAATGCTGCTAAATGGGGCAGGAAGAAGTGAGTGGGCAGAGTTCATGCAGATGTGTTAGAGAGGGATCATAGGGCTGGGGATTTAGCTCAGTAGCATAAGTGCCTGCCTAGAAAGAGCAAGGTTGTGAATTCAATCCCTAGTATAAAAGGAAGGAAGGAAGGAAGGAAGGAAGGAAGGAAGGAAGAAAGAAAGAAAGAAAGAAAGAAAGAAAGAAAGAAAGAAAGAAAGAAAGAAAGAAAGAAATCATGTACTGGACATGTTTTGGGGAGATGGTAACAGGACGAGATGCCTCTGCTTATTCAAATGGAGCTGCTGGGCCAGGTGTGATGGTACATGCCTGTAATCCCTAAACTGGGGAGGCTGAGGCAGTTGGATCACTTTGAGTTCGAAGCCAGCCTGGGCTACACAGTTAGTTCAAGGCCAGCCTGAACTGCATAGTGAAATCTTGTCTCAAAATGACAAAACAAAAGACAAAGTAAAACAAATGGAGATACTGGAGTAAAAGAAATGGAGATACTAATCCAGAGCTCAAGGAAGACAGGGCTGAAAGTAAGGTCTGGGAGTATGTGATACACACACACACACAGTATGTATGTAGGAAGAGAAAAGAACTAAAGGAAGAATCCTAGGACAAATCTACGTGGACAGGCTATGAAGAGGAGGAGCCAGGAAAGGACACTGGGAAGGAATGGGCAGTGTAACAGAAATGGTGTTCAGGAAGAAAGTGTTTCCAGGGAGGCAATGATGAGCTGTGTTGGAGCTGCAGGGAGCTGCAGGGAGCTGAGCAGAGGGAATAGGGAGTGAAGAGAGACACTGACAGGGGCAACGCTGTCAAGCTAAACAGTGCATCACAGAAGTGAGGCAGAACATGAAACACGAATTCTGGCAAGTGTTTTGCTTTTCGCGTTTTCCACTAGAAAAGAACAGATCTTCTCATAGTGATAGGAGTGGTCCAGGAGAGAGAAGGGATCAGATGCAAGAGAAAGAGGGATGCAGTGGGGGCCTTGAAAACATGGAGAGCCATGGGAGTCCTGGCACAAAGGTCATGGGACCAAGGGGAGAGAAAGAGAGACTATGGCAGAGCCACAAGGAAGAGCAGGATGAGCTGAGTGGGGGTGGCAATTCTCTATCCCTTCCCTCCACTAAAGGATAGTGCTATTGCTGGTCTATAGCGATGGGTAATGAAAAGCCACTGATGATGAAGCTGTGACACTGAGCTTGTGAGGCTGTGATGCTGGGGGCGAGCAGCAAGGACACAAGAGGAGCATCACAGTGGGAGCTGAGCTCAAGGATGGACACTGCAGAGACCTCAGCCGGCTGCACCAGGCTCACCTCTGTGAGCTCCTGGGTGCCTGAGTGCATAGCCCACCACGGCTCTTCTTGAACTTTCTCGGGGCCTCTTCCAGAAGCCCACAGAACTCGAATGAGAGCAATCCTTTCACCTGCCTGGACAGCAGCGACGCAGAAGGGACGGAAGTTCAGAGCTCTGTCTGTGGTGAAGTCCTTTAACCACAATTGTAAAGCCACTTTATTCAGTATATGAGAAGTCTCTTTCTTTCTTCCTGTCACATAGACATTTATATCTGAATCATCTACGTGACAAAAAGTCTTTGCTAAAAGAAGCCAGGTAAGAAAGGTTCTAATCTATAAAGCTTTACTACATGTATGTATGTATGTATGTATATATGTATGTATGTATTTACTAAGTATTGAATCCAGGACCTTTGCACTAACCTAACTCTCCAATCCGTTTGATTGACTGATTCACTGATCGATTATTGTGGAGATAAGGTCTGGCTAAATAGTTAAGTTGCCTAGGCTGGGCTCAAACCTGCTGTCCTCCAGCCTCAGCCTCCCAGAATGCTGGGATTACAGGCATGCAACCCAGTTGCATTATTTTTATAATTCTTATCAAAAAACTACATGGTGGAGCCAAGGATATAGCCCAGCAGCACAAGTGCTTACTTGGCAAGCACAAGGTTGTAAGTTCGAGCCCTAGTACAGAAGAAGAAAAAAAAAAAAAAAAGGATCCTGGCTGCAGGAGAAAAAGCATATTGACCTCTACCCAAAACCTAACCTAAACACTTTCCTACCTGGGAGACTGGAGACTAGTATGGCCTCAGCAGCAAGAACTTGGCCTACACTGACTTTTCTTCTGTATGCTGAGCATGCAGGGAAAGAACTGAGAGCAGGGGCAAAGTGTATCAAGCCTTTCCTCTGATATTCTAGGCACAATCATGAAGCCTATTCTCACTGAGAAAGACACTAACAAGAGAAGAGGGCAGTGTGCAAGCACTTTGGAGGCTGAGCCAGCCTGGATCCCATAGCCCCACCCCCAGCAAGGGTGCTTTTACCCTAAGTTAAGAGAATTCTGTTCTAACCAAGGCTTGTGAATAAGATTAAAGGTGGAAATGCTGAGGCTCCCTTCTATCTAAAAAAGCAACAATGGCACCAATTTAGCATAGATCTTAGTAACCTTCAACTTCAGCTAATTTAACAAGTAATTTGATTTTTGCTGGAAATAGTAGGGTGAGGCTCCATGACCATCAACAGCCTTGTCACTGAAGCCCCAGCCAGCCCTGTCAATCTGAGTGGGAAAATAAAAGCCAAATCTCCAAAGAACTCTATAGCAAAGGCAGTGAATCTCATCATGGGATAGGCAACCTTTCTGCTTTAAGCAGGGGATAAGGCTACACTTATTTGGTCCCTGGGTCAGAGGAAGGACCGGTTTGGGTATAGATGAGCAACGGTCATAAGGAAGGATAAATGTCAGGGGTGAGGTACCTGTGTGGGGCTTTCAAAGGGCAGAGGGAAGTTCTGGATGTGGGCACGATGAGTAGAATCCTCCGCTTTGTGTGTTGACTTCTTGCTGTAGGAACCGTACCTGGGCAGACACCATGCGGTGTACCAGTAGGAGCTGCTTCCTAACCTCAGCAGGTGTCATGCTCTTGTGGCTCTTCATCACTCTGCAGATCCCCAAGGAGACTGAAGATAGCCGAGATGTGATGACTATGAAAGGCCAAGTAGCAACATTGCTCCCAGTTTGGGACTTGAGGGTGTAGGGTGGGAATGGTGAGGATAGCAGAATTCCCCAGAGCACCCAGGCTGTCCTCCTGCCTGTACATTTCCACTGGCAGGGTGGAATCGGAAGAAGCTGCACTCATTTTTCCTGTGTGCTAAGGCACAGTGGGGGACAAGTGCTGCTTGAGCCCTGGATCGCTTTGCCAATGGCTCGACATCCTGCGGATGGTCTGGACTTGCTCTAGAAAAAGCAATCCGTTCCACCTTTTCCCTTTGAAACTTATAAGGAACCACTGGGGGATAAATGCTGCTCATTTTAAGAAGGATTTTTTTCTTTTGCCTTCATCGATGCCCCAGGAGACCAGTTATGACAGTAAGAACTTTAAGCCACTGGAAGACTGGCACACCATCACCTTGAAATATACACAAAAACTCCAGAAGAAAAGGAAAAGTGAGTGCCAAGGAGAGGGAGGGATGGGGTCTTCCAGAGGACACAGGCATAGCTAGGCATAGTGACACACACCTGGGAGCCCAGCTACTTGGAAGGCAGTGGTAGGATGATCACAAGTTCCAGACGGGCCTGGGCAATTTAGTGAGACCCAGTCTTGAAATATAAAAAGTTCTAGGGATGGAGCTCAGTGGTAGAGCACCACTGGGTTAAATTTCCAGTACTGGAAGAGGAGAAAGATAAATAGAAAGATGAGATAGGGCCAGGAATATAGCTCAGTGGCACAGCAGCTCCCTGGAAAGTGCAATGTTGTGAGTTTGATTCGCCAGTACCATAAAAAGATGGAGATATGTGGGGAGATGGGAGTAAAGAAAATAAAGGGAAGAGAAAAGGCAGAAATTGGTTGAGTTTGGTGGCAAATACCTATAATCTTGGAGAATTATGAACTCCAGGTCAGCCTGGACTACACAGTGAAATACTGTCTCAAGCCAGCCAACAAGCAAAAAGACTTAAAATAAAAATTAAAAATCAAATGAAAAGATAACTGCACTTAGGACTGTTTCAACAGCAGGGAATTCTTTCCCACCTCTCCTAGATAGTTACATAGTAGGGTAGAAGGAAGGAGGAAAAAGATGAAGTTGTTATAAGAAGGTGAAATCAATATGTTAATCACATAAAACATTACTGAACATTACACGTGTTTCCTTTCCTCTGCAAGACTGTATGTATTCATATTGAGTGAGCAACAAGGAGCATGTCTCTTTTTACTTTATGTAACTTTGTATTTGAATCCACAGTTGTGATCTCTGACACCCTAGTAATGGATGACTAAGCAGCTGTACAGTATTTAAGTGGAAAGAAAAAACAAAATATTAAAATGAAAGGACTTGAGGTTAAGGTTGCCTACATGCATGTTTAGGTAGAGCAATTCACAGAGTATCTGAATAAAATGCATAACATGAAAAAGGACAGAATCACTAGAGGGAAAAATTGTTATAAAAAGGGGAAATTGCTGGATTTGAGAACATTCAAAAAGTAGCTATGCTCACTCTTACACTACTAGTGCCACACTAGATTAAATGATATTTGGAAGAGTCACACAGTCCAATCCTCTTGCTTTTATGAATTTAAGACCTAAACTCAGGAATGAAGGAACTTGCTCAAGATCACACAGCCAGTGGCAGGGCTGGGACCAGACCCTGGGGCCAGCAGGTATTTTGGCCTATGCTTATAATCTCAGCACTCTGGGAGCCCAAGGCAGGCAGATCACAAGTTCCAGCCCTGTCTGGACAACCTAGCAACTTACTGAGACTCCTTGTCTCAAAATGAGAAAAACAAAACAAAACCAAAACACCCGAGGGCTGAAGAATGTAGCTCAGTGTGAAGACCTAGGGTTCAATTCCCACGAGCATTGCAACAGAAAAAGGGAAGAGGGCTCCTGACTGCTAGGAAAAATCTTTTTTCTCATATATTACTTCAAAGAAGGTCTTTGGAAAAATGAAAAGAACAAAAATAAAAGAATTATAATAACTAAAATAATAGCCTATATATTGAGCAGTTAAATGATGCGTTTTAGATTTAAAGACTCAAAGGGATCCTTAGGGAGTCGGAGTCACCTAGCTGAGTACTTCTCAAACTCTGGTGTCTACAGGTCACCTGGTGATACCGTTAAAACGCAGGTTCTGAGGGAGGGGTCAAGATTCCCCAAGTCTCATAAGCTGACAGAGGAGGCTGATGTGGTGGACCAAGGACCACACTTAGAGCAGCAAGCGTGTAGACATCCCTCCCCTCTGCCACTGGACACCACAGAAGGGACTAGGAGAGGGAAGAAAGAGAAGACCCTAGGTAGAATCCCCTCCACCAAGCCCTTGACAGCCCTCACCTCCAGCCTGCACTGACAGCTGTCCCTGCTTTACCTCTCCTTAGCGTGGCTCACGGTGGGGATCTCCGCGGTGTCACGACAGGACCCAAACAGCCTCTTGTACACGCTGGCCTCCCTGTACGGCTCCTCCTCCGCAGCCGAGCAGAAGCGTCTCACGGTGCTGGTGCACCTGGCAGATTCTGACCTCGCCTGGCTCAAAGACACTACTGCCCGAATCTCCAGCCTCTACCACGCGCACATCTTGGCAGGGCAGCTGCTGCTGATCCACGCTCCGCCTGATGCCTACCCTGCCCAGGTTGGCGAAGGCCACTCTAAACAGAACGTAGACCACGCGTTCCTGATGAGCTTCGCCGCGAGGCTCTCCGACTACTTCCTGTTAATAGGGGAGGGTGTCTTTTGTGCCCCCAACTTTGTCACACACATTTATTCCAAGGTGATGACCCTGAATCCCAGTCCATGGGCGCTGCTGGAGTTCTCGAATATGGGCACCACTGGCAAACTCTTCCATAGCAGGGACCTCCCTGTGCTGGCCCACTTCCTCCTCCTCTTCCACGGGGAGAAGCCCCTGGACAGGCTGATCCTTCATTTCCGCACCCTCCTGGTCCAGGAAAATCAGATCCTCAGCAAACCATTCCTCTTCCACCACAGGTTGTCCCACCCCACCTTGCATGACAAAAAGGACACAGTAGTTCAGAAAAAGAACCCTTACGGTCCTAGCAACCCCCCTGCATCTGTCTTTACGGATATGGTCATTTCTGATGCTCACTTCCCCTGGGAGGCCTACACCCTGGACGAGTCATTCTTCTGGACAAACAGCATACACATAGGGAACCACTTGACAGTGGTTTTGAACCACCCAGCTAGGCTGAGCAGAGTGCAGGTGATGACAGGCTCCCTCGTGGAAGGAAAGTACGCTCTAGCAAAGGGGCAGGTGGAGCTGGGCTATGGCCCCCAGAGGATGCCTCAGGACTGTGCCAGCTTCGAGCTGCTGGGCTGGCTCTCAGAAGGGCAGATGGACCGGGAGCTACTGCAGGAAAGTGCAGCGGACCCCGTGAGCTGTGTGAGGCTGGTGGTGAAAGCCAACCAAGCTGGTGGTCTCATGATCAGGCACATCTACCTCTGGGAGAAAAATGCCACGAAGGAGAAAACGGATCAGAGTTGATGGTGAAATCAGTAAGAGTACACAAAATAAAATCAAGAAGCTGTTTTGTTGTAGTCTGGATGAGTGACGTAGAGGAGGTACCAGGGAATGACAGGCAGAGAGAAGACATTCTTTTGGTGCCCGCAAGATGTTAGAAGCCTCATTCCTTTTTCCACCTAAACAGGCAACTCTACCATGCTACCTTTCATTAGGGAAAGGCCTTGTTTACTCTCAAGAATCTTTAGACTTTTATGATACTTGAATCAGCCAGATAGACCCAAGTACAGTGTACAGTGTACTGTGTGTGTGCCTGTGTGTTTGTGTGTTCACACAGAGAGCTAGGGGTGAGGTTTAAGGTGGTAAGAGGAAGATGAGTGAGGAAATCATGGGGAGTCTTAAGAAACGACATCATAGGAAGCCAAGAAAAGGATTCTCATTAGAAATTGAACTCTCTGAAGTTCAGGAAAAGAGCAAAAGAACCCATAGCAATAAAGCTAGATCTTTATCCTTTTAAACTGCTTCATAGTGCTGCTCTGGTTCCCTCCTTTCTTCAGCAACAAACTTGGGCAATAGTGTGTAACTAAAGCTTCCCTTTTGATTGGTAATTCAATTTGTAAGGTCCCCCAGCTTGCTGCTTCGTACACTATGCTACTGAAACTCTTCCCTGCTTGTAATGCCCAAAATAGTCAAAATCCAATGGCATTTTTCAAATTTCATTTTTCTTGGTTCTATGTAGCAATACAAAATATACCAATTATGTTTCTCTTTCTTTTTTCATGTTTTCCTTTCAAAACTGTCTTCTTCCTTGACTTCTTGCATTCACCCATTAATATATTTATCAAGTGTCTAATACGTGCCAGGAACAAACAGCCCTGTCTTTGAAGAGACCGTGTTTTTGTGTTTAGCAAGGGGAAAACAGTCAGATGTGTTAAGTTCTTGCTGGTGTTGAGTACAGGGTCTTTGGGAGCACACAACGATCGTCTTTAAAACAGTCTTGGGGACTTAGGAAAGGCCTTTTGGAAGATGTGACGTCCAAGACCAATGCCAGGTCACTCTGGAGAAGAAGGCAGGAGATGTGGCAAGAGGGGAAAGGAGTTTTCTAGTAGGAAAACACAGTGTGCCAAGATACAAGCCAGAGTCAGAAGGAGCAGTTGTTTAGGGGTCTGGATAAGCCCAGGGTGAGGCAAAGGATGAAGCTGCAGGGCTTACAAAGGTCAAAGATGCTGGGCTCATGCCTATAACCTCAGCACCCTGGGAGCCTGGGGCAGGAGGACCACAAGTTTGAGGCCAGCCTGGGCAACTTGATGATCTAAAAGAGCTGTCTCAAAACTTTAAAAGAAAACTTTTCAAAGAGCTGAGGGATGAAGCTCAGTACAAAGGTCCTGTGTTCAATGTCCAGTACTGCCACACAACGAAAGCCAAGATGGTGACACTCCTACGATTCCAGCACTCAGGAGGCCGAGGTGGGAGGATAGCCACAAGTTCAAGGCCAGGGTGGGCTACCTAGTGATACTATGTCTCAAAAAAGTTTTTTAAAAGTCTTTTTCCAAAGGGTGCCAGAAAAACTGGATATTCACATGAAGAAGATGAATTTGGACCCCATCTACAGAGCAAATGAAAATTAACAAATAGATCATAGAATTAAATATAAAGAGCTAACATTACCAAACTCCTAGAAAACATAGGTGTAAATTGTAACTGTGCATTAAGCAATGGTTTCTTAGATATGACATCAAAACACAAGTAACTCAAAGAAATAATAGAACTTCAAGAAATTAAAAGAAAAATTGTGTTTCACAGGACATTCAAGAAAGTGAAAAGACAACTGATAGGATAGATGAAAATCTGGTAAGAGATTGCTATCTAGAATATATAGCAACTATATATTATAATAAAAAGATAACCCAATTTTCAAATGGGTTAAGGTTCTGTATGAACATTTCTCCAAAGATAAAAGCACATAAAACCTGTGCTTTTATCATTTATCATTAGAGACAGACAAATCAAAACATGATGAAACATCTCTTCATACTCATCTGGGTGACTAAAAAATTTTTTTAAAGGAAAACAAGGGTTAGGGACTTAGCTCTGCAACATAAGCGCCTGCCTGGCAAGCATGAGGTCGCGAGTTTGATCCCTGGTACCAAAAAAAAAGGAAAATAAGTGCTGGTGAGATGTAGAGAAACTAGAACTCCAAGATCTTGCTGTTAGGGTTGTAAAATGATACAATCACCTTGGGAAAATGTTTACCAGTTCCTCAAAGCCCATACAATCAAACAACTAGCTTTTTACTTAAGAACACGAAAACACACTTCATTACAAAGACGTATAAGCAAATGTCCACAGCAACAGCAATAATAACCAAATCATGGAGACCATTCACAGGACCATCTGTTATTGGGTAGGAAAGAGAAGTAACTACAAAACATTACTTCGCAATAAAGAGTAATGAAGTATAATATGTATGAATTTTAAAAACTCTATGCTTGCCAGGGATTTAGCTCAATAGCAAAAGCATCTGCCTCGCAAGCATGAAGTCATGAATTTAATCCCTGGTACAAAAAAAATCAACAAAACTTTGCTACATGAGAGAAGCAGTCACAAATACTACATATTACATGATTATTTATATAAAATGTTCAGAATTCACAAAGCCATATCAACAGTAGATTAGTGACCACTGCTGGGAAAAGGGGAACAAGGAATATCTACTAAGGGATATATGGTTTCTTTTGGGGGTGATGATGTTATACCAGATTGTGATGATGGTGGCACAACCCTGGTAGTATATTAAAAGCTATTGAATTGAATAAAAAGAATGAATTTTATGGTATCTAAGTTATTACTCAATAAAGCAATTGTGTAAAAAACAAACCCCTAAAAAGGGATTAGGAAAGAGTGAGACTTAGATTATCTTAATGGCAATAGGAATCAATCATTACAGAATTTTTACGAGGTCAGAGAAATGACCCAAGTTGTGTTCTGGAAAGACTACCATAGGTATCCTGTGAAGATCAGATCAAACTGAATCAAAATAGGGAAGTCAATTAGAATTTAAAAAGATAATATGTGCTTGGTATATGATGCTTCATAATGGAAACTTCTGCTATGGTTTAAATGAAAAGTCTCCCCAAAAACTCAATACTGAGAGAGTGAGTTCAAGTGCTCATCCCAAGGTGGCACCGTCCAGAATTGGACCTAGGAGGTAACTGGATTACAAGGGCTTATTAACCATCATGAGTGGATTCATGGATTGATGAGTTCATTCACTGAATGGGCTCTTGGGAAGCAGCCCTAGTTGGAGTAAGTAAATCACAGAGGAGTGGTCTCCTTTTAAGGGTATACCTTGTTCTCAGCCCCTTCTTGTGTGTGGTCTTTCTTTCGCCCTGTTTCCTATTATGAGGGAGTATGCCTTTACACCATGATGTTTCTGCTTTACCACAGGCCTAAAAGTAATGGATCAGGCTTACCATGGCCTAAACCTCTCAAATAGTAAGCCAAAATAAATTTTGTCTTCTTTGATTTCTTTAGGTATCTTAGTACAGCAACAAAGAGCAACTAACACAACTTTCCATTTCTCTGAGATTGTGTCAGGGTGGAGACAGTGGCTATGTCTTGCTCATGTGTCTGTCAGGGCTATGTGGTCATGTAGATGAGACAAGCAGGCACAGTGTGAGAACCCAATGGTAAAGTGCTGTCATAACTGACAAGGGACCCTCGGCCTCCATGGCTGGGACACAGTGGAGTGGTAGCCTGTAACGGTCTTGGGTCTGCACACTTTCTGAAGGCAGAGCGGCTGCCCAGCCTTAACAGACTGGTACCATGTAAGCAGGTGGGTCCAGGATGGCCAAATATGGTCATTTTTTAAAGAGAAACTGGAAATCCCACTTTTTAGGTTAGATTCTCACTTTTTTGAAGGCTGGAGACTCAAAAATATCAAAAAACCACTGACTCACAATTTTAAAATACCATTTAGCTGGAAGAGTGGCTCCCAGGTTAACAGTTTTATCTTAGGCAACAACTTTCTCAGATACAACATGCAATCTTTTTAGCATTAGGATCACCCAGATGGATTCCTAGGACTTATCCCATCCCTACCAGTGATATAGCCTGCCCCGAGGATGGATTACTGTGCAGCAGGAAGCTATCTGTGGTTGATTCTGTTAGCTCCACTCTCAGAGGTTGGCACTTTTCTGACATGGCCTGCCCACCCTACTTGGGGTTTTGATATTGATTTGGTGTTTTTGTTTGTTTTTTTGACACAGAATCTTGTTGTGTAGGTCAGGCTGACCTCAAACTCCCAAAAATCCTCCCTTTTCATTATCCTAAATATTCTTTGTTTAGAATGAGCCATCATGAGTGGTAATAAGAGCTTCAGAAGGATATAGAGATGGCAGGAGTTCTGAGCTCTGATCAGTTCAAGATTGATCATAGCAATTAAATTAAGTGGAGAAAATCCTGTGACTGACTTACTGTATACTCTCTGGTGGGCTTACCATAATTCCTAGTTCCCAATACTCAATAAAGTTTTTGTTGAATAAAAACATTTTTTATAGAAAAAATAGAATGAGTCATCAAATGATTTACATAGAATATTATAATTTTAAAAGTCCTATCAGTATGGATTGAGTGTAGCATTTAATCTTTTTTTTTTAATTTTAAAGAGGGTAAGATTAAACAGAACAAAACAGATCATAAGGAAACAATTTTAAGAAACACGCATTTCAAAGCAAGTCCACTGGAGATCTTCACTGCCTATCATATTGTCTCTAGTTTTCTTCCAAATAGTTGTCCCTATGTTCACACACATTGAATACATACTGAACATTATAGAACTAATCTAATCAGAACAGGATGATGAAGGCTTTTTAGGTCTTCAAGACCTGACATTGGGGAAGTCAACAATGACTGCCATAATGTCTCTCATTCTCTTTGAAGTAGCTGTCCATATTTTTATGTATGCTGAAATTGAACATAAGAGACTATACTAATATCACTCTGAACAGCGAATAATAGTATTGCTAGATTTTATATCATAATGCTACAGAATTAGCACTGGGTATCTTAGTGTCTCTTCAGAGTATCTGTTCATCACATCGTGCATCACATAATCTGTTCCTGTAAACTGTTTAGAGATTCTCCCCATGTGTGAGTCTCTACATGTATGTATATCCTTTCTGTATTATAGGGAAAAACAGATCAAAATAAGACAACAAAATAAATTCTTTTAAAAAATGAAATGAAAAAGACATATAAAACCACAATATTAGGTGATCTACAGTAGTTACTATGCTGTCTCTTGTTATTTTCAATAGAATTGTCTATATCATCAGACATAATATAATTGAACATAGCATTACACAGCAATTTTAATAAAAACACAACATTGGAGACACTGTAGGACTCCAAAAGCAGTTAATAATCAAACTGGAATGGGTATCTTATTACATCTTGTCATCTTCAGAGTAGTTGCCTCTACTCTTAGACTTGATATTATCAAACATACCAAATTCGAATAAAATCAGTCAAGACAAAACAGTGGTCTAACAAACCAGCTTCAAATAAGATCAGTCATAATAAGACAATGTAAGTAATACCGGGCTTCAGTTTAAGTTAATAGGAAATTAAGGATAGTTACTGTAGTTTAGCCTGCTATTTTTGGGATAGCTGTCTGGGCCCTCAAATGTAGCATCTAATCTTGAGGAACCTGAGACTCCTGGAGTTTAGGGTGAACAGCAGAGCTCAGGTCAGCTTCTGTCTGAACAGGACTCTGAGCTCCTCACTGCAGAGGGTGAAGTGGGTGAACATCAGACACAACAGAGCAGGCATTGCGTTCCCATGACAGGCCTCTTTCCAGAATGTTGGGCTCAGGATTCTCACCTTGAAGAAGCTAACAATAAAGTAGTCATCACGGGGTTGGCAGAGGAAATGTAGTTAGGACAGAAGGTTCTCAGGTCACCAAAGGACAGTCGCAGTGGCTCTGTTGATGAGTACTGAGAAGGCCATTCTTCCCCAGCGCTGTGTTCCTTAAAGACAGCCAGGTTTTGAACCTCACTTCTTCCCTTGTCTTCTGCGTTATAATCTCTGCTTCCTCTACATGAGCTGCTCCATAGCTGCTCCTCTGAGCTCCTGGAGCACCTGGAGCTGGATTGTGTGCATTAACTTGAGTTCCTGTTCCTCCTTCAGGTCCAGCACGCAAGTTCAGTGGATGTTTGCTGAATGAGTGAATAATTCCTCTTCTATATGTCACTTTCATTCATAAAGTTCTTAGGAATATATTATCTGATTTAATCTGTGGCATGCTGAAAGGAAGAGCCTCATTTTGCAAATTATAAATATTTACAATATATATATATATATGAGTGCAAGGAGTATGGCTCAGTGGTAGAGCCTGTCTAGCATACAAGACAGATTTAAGCCCCCAGGACCATCAAACACAGAAACAAAATCAATCTCTCAGTACCACCACCCACACAGACACCCACAAGGGATAAGTTTCCTGGAGACTGTGGTCCCCCAAGACTGCTGCAACCTAGATCCTGCCTGAGGCCAAGGGTTACTGCACTCTCTTGTGCAACCAAAGTGGAACATGTCAGGGAAACTTCTGCCAGCCAAGGGAGGTGGCTTCTGAGAAACTTCACCAAAGTCACCAAGCCACCAGCAGCACTGGTCTGTCCTCTGGCCGTGACCTCTCCCCCACATCCACTCTTCTGACTGGCATTCTCAGCCCAGCAAATAGGAAGGTCCCAGGCACTCCCAACATCTTCCCCAGCAGTCTCCAGACCAGAGCTGTGCGGATGTGGCTGTCCCTTATCCAAAGAAGAGGTTGAGGTGGCCTCAGATGTCCACCTTTACCTGTGGGCAGCAATTTGGCCCTGGTCAATTTGAATAGCAGGGCTCCTGTGCGTGGGGGAAGTGAAGCAAGAATGTGAATCCCCATCCTCTCCATGGGAATCCTCTTAAGTGGGTCTAGCAGGAGCCTTGTTCTCCAACTTTTCACTCATCCACGCCTTTATGAAGTCTCTACTGAGTGCTGACTGTCGGGGACAAGGGTCTCAGTGTTGGTGTTACCTCCACGGAGCTCTTGGTTCCCAGGAATTAAGCAAGCTCATCTCTGGTTACTACTGTTCCACGGGAAGCACAGAGGCTCTGGTGTTGCACAAATGGGATCTTAATCCCAGTCTATTTATCCACTGAGTCCTTAAAATGTGATCGAACATCTCCGAGCCAGTTTCTTGACCTGTAAAACAAGATTCTCACTGCCACACAGTGGCAAGTAAATTGATTGACAAGTAAATCAAAGAAGATCCTACACATAAGGTAGACGTTAGACACCCAGAGGGCACCAGCCCCAGTGCCTGCTCTCAGTGCTCTTCCCCTCAAACCCTCTCCTCCACTATACCCTCAGGCTACAGACAGAGCTCATGCCTGTCAACCCCTTCACCACACCTTGGGCCTCTCTCCTTTGGGTTGACATGGCTCTGAAGCTGCAGGAACCATGCACTTAGCCCTGGGCTTGGGCTGCCCTGGGACCTCTTGCTTATTGGATCTGAGATGGAGGCCCAGACAGGCCCAGGCAGGCAGGACCTCCTGTTGCCAGCCCTGCCCCAAGTGGGTGGGGAAGGGCAGAGTTTTCCCAGACAGAGCCTTAGGGCTTGATTCTGCCCTTTCTGGTTGGGCTACTTTAGGAGCCCTGGGCAACCAAGGCACCACATTGACACCCAGGGAGCTAAGCAATAGGACAGAGAGAGAAATCAGGCTCCCAGGGTCTCCCCCCGCCCCGCAGATTCATCTCCTCACCGACCACAGATGTCAAGTGGCATCTATCCGGTGGACATGCAAGGGGCAGGGTGATGTGGGCTACAGATGGCCTTGGCTGCTTGCTCTGGGTGTCTAAAGTCTTATCCCTAAGATGGCGGAAACATCTTCATAGGCGTTTGTGGCAATCCAGTGACACACGTCAAATGTGATTAGTTTGTGTGAGGGCTCAGAACTGTTAAGCAAGAAATTCATCACATCAGGTCACCGCATTACCCAGTTTAATCCCTTCAGTGATGTCTCCATAGCTGCTGGGGAGAAGCATGTTTCACACAGACTGTGGTCACCTGGCGTCCTTCACTCCCAGCTTCTGAGCCACACAGTCCTCGTGGCCCTTTCTGTGTCCTGTCCAAGATCATGTCTGCCCTGGGACTTTCGCATGTGCCATGTACTTGCTTGACCTCCTCCTGCTGGCCACTGCCGTGCTCAACATCTATGGAGCATCCTCAGAGGAGTCTTTGCTGCCCACCCGCACATGGCCAGGCCCTCCTATTACACGTTCTTTAAACCTTCAGCTTCTGCTTTGGGGATCCTTGAAATATTATGTGACTATGTGAGGCTCGTACAGCCTCTCCATACCCAGGAACTGTGTATGGCCATTTGTCCATCACTTACACACAAAGTCTCACAGAGTATTTGACACACAGTAGGCACTTCATTTGTTGCAAGGCAAGGCAACTGGCTAGGGGCAGGGGCACATACCTGTAATCGCAGCTAGCTGGGAGGCTAAGATGAGAGGATCACATGTTTGAGTCCTACCAAGACAACTCGGTGAGACCATGTTTCAGAATAAAAAAATAAAATAAAAGGGCTGGGAATATAACTCAGTACTCCCCAGTTCACATCCCAGTAGAACAAACAAGAAACAAAAGAACTGAATCAGACATGGCTTGACTTCCAGTCCCCTCATCCTCTCCTGACAGCTGTCACCATAACCCACCCTCCCAGCCCACCAGCTTAGCTAAGCACCTGCTCTAGCAGAACAATCCAGAGAGCTGACTTTCCCTCTTACTCCTCTCTGTCAAAACTCAAAATTCCACTCACTTACACTTTCCCTCCACTCTCCCTCCCATGACTCCAGAACTCAGCCCACTGGTGTGGCGGTTGCATAGGTTGACTATTCACCTTCAGCGAACCTCCTGAGCAGTGACTTTCTCCTCCCTGTTAACTGAAGAGCTGAGCCCCTAGCCATGGGCTGCCCCAGGTAGGTGTGGACCACAGGCAGAAGTCTCATCAGGTTCCTCGCCTGTAACATGGGGGTGAGAGTCCCTAGACTTGTTGAAATCATAAGGTACATGAATAACCATGTGTGGCAGGCACTGTGCTTGGTATTTTTCGCACCTCCTTTTGCATAGGTCATGGTGACAGAATCTGTTTACAGTGAGTCCCTAATTTATGAATAATTGGGTTTCAAACTTTCACAGATACAAACAGACCTCACATTATGAACATTCGTAGATGTAGACAAATCACAGAAACAGCTCACCTGTCAGCTGGGCATTGTCATCGTTGTGCTGCTGTGTGCTCACCATGCAGTGTGGTAGTGTACAGAGGTACAGTCCTCAGGCCAAGCCCAGGGTGTCTGGAAGAAAGAGGAAAAGCTGTAGTGATGTGGGGGCCTGGAAGGAAATGCAAAGACTAAAACATCTACAAACCCCACAAGGCATGAAGTTTCAGCTGTCACCATGCATAGGTTTGGAAAAAACTTTGTCCACAGTTTATTCATGGGGTTCATGGACTCAAGATGATGGACAAGGAGTCCAAAGTGGTCTTTAATAGCCTAGCGGCCCTTAGCGAGAAACTGGAGGCAAATCTGTGAGAGGATTTCTTCACTGAACTCTTTGCTGATAGAACTAGAAGCCCAGCAAAAAGATGAAGAGGGCCAAGAGAAGGGCGGAACTGAGGAAACAAAGAGATTTCACAACACAGGATATAGCAAGGTGATTTTCTTTACCCGAAGAGGCACTGTTCATTTTTGAGGCACAGGACCCCAACATAGAGCAATACACAAAGGTTGCAGCCGCTGTTCAGAATGCCATCCAGTGCTGTGTGTCATTTATGAGAAAAAAAGAGCTACCACTCAGATGTCACGGGATCATGTTTGCAAGAGGATTGACAGAACTGAATCATCAGAAACCCATGTCATCAGCATCAGGTGTGAGTGACATTTCATCTCGCCCTCCGGCTCCTGTAGCTGGTGGCCCTTCAGCACCTCTGTCTCCTACCTGCCCTCCTCCTCCAGCCAGCAGCTGGCCCCTTGACGGCTCACTGCACGCCATCCCCTCTCTGCCAGGTATTGTGCTGTACTGCGCTATGCCTCTATTTTAGAGTAAATGTAAAAATAAAATTGTTAACTGACAGTATTTTTGTGTATGTTTGGTTTCTAACACTTTACATTGTATGTCTGTGTCCAAGGCATTTGACTTACTTTGTCAGATTACAAATGAATCCCATTTGCTAACATTCTCCTGGAACAGAACTCATTCCTAAGTCAGGGAATCAATGTACCTCACTTCACATTTGAGGCCTCATGAAGCCTGGAGCACATGAAAAGCACACTGCTGTTCACATGGGTATTAAGTGGGTGAACTTGCCGAAGCCTCCCCTGTAGCCCCCAGCTCTTTCCTAGCTACCTGTCTTGCTCTGCTCCTTCAAGTCAGGGGCAGAATAAGTAGGTTGAGATGATTTAGGTTCAAATCCAAATGGCAGCTGGGAGGTTTGTCTCCCACAGCTCACTCAGAGCAGGTATGTGATTGTCTTTGAGACTAGGAAGCAGAAACAAGGGATTTTCTACTTCTCTGTCGAGGCACAAAACCCTACCTCCTTTGCAGCCATAGGCGTGATGGGCCAAACAGCGACCACAAATCATTTAAAACAAATGATGGTAACCTCTGTCAGTAAACTTGACTTCAAATACCTTAACCTTGTGAGGTTAGGGAGCAACTTTTCTTCTTTAGTTTTTTAATCCTATATTCAACCTAGTATTTGTTTGCCCTCTCTTTCAAGTTTTGGGGACCCCTAGGGTCATGGTTCTAAATTTTAGCCTCAAATTTGCTTCACTCAGGAAAGTTAAAAGGCTTGGGATCAGCCTAGGCTGACTATGCAGCAGCTCTAGTGTGGAGCAGGGCATCAGTATTTACTAAAAGTTCTCTACCTAAGCTGGGTACAATGGTAGCTGCTGGTCATCATAGCCACTGGGGAAGCTGAGGCTGGAAAAAAATCTCAAATTCAAGGCCAGCCTGGACAACAATAGTAAAACCTCACCCCCAACCCTCCCCAAAAGAAAGGCCTCTTACCTGAGTGTTATATCAGGCAGAGTCAAGCTTTGCTCATATGTTCTCATACTTTTTCAAGTCACTACAAAAAATGACTTCTTGTGTTTTAAAAATTCCCTTAACACTCAAATCTATTTTATAATTTCCTCAGAGACAAACATTCTGTAAAGTAGCCCTAAAAATCTACCCTTTTATTCTTTTTTATGTTTTAATTTGAGTAATAAGGTATTTAAATCTCCTGACTGCTGTCATATCAGTCCAATGTGATACCAGTGTGTTCTCTTGTTGAGAAATGTTGTCTATAGTGTATTCTTTTATTGGATATTTACAATACACAGTAGATTGTTACAGTTGGTTTAATATGGCCAATAATTGACATCATATTATGAGCATGCATGAAGTCTTATACCACATTTACAAAACATTTTTTGGTTGTTTTTTTGTTTTTGTTTTTGTTTTTTGAACTGAGGATTGAACTTACGCTTGCCAGGCAAGTACTTAGGTCGCTGAGCTAAATCTCCAGCAGTTGGTTTGTTTCCTACACTTCTAGGTTATGCATCAAAAATAAGATGGTAGCTATGTACTTGTATATAAAGTCAAGATTATAGCTGGGAAAAAATATAAGTTCATTATGAAAATATCAAAATCACTTTAACAGTACTATTTCCAAATAAAATACAGAGTCTCATTAAGAGTCACGTCAGCAATTTATATGTAACTTAAGTGGAATTAAGCAAAAGAGAATGCTTTTAATATGCTACTTTTGGGAATAAACAAAGATCTCATTTAACATTGCTGTGCTCAGTTTTGAAAAGAACAAAACTTTATACCACTGTACATGTGACTAGATTTAAATACCCTGTTTTGATACTAATTTTGAAAGTCATATAACTTCTCTCTCTCTCTTTTTTTTTTTTTTTTTTTTTTTGTCTTTTTTGTTTTTATCAGTACCAGGGATCGAACTCACGACTGTCTACTTGCAAGGCAGGCACTTATGCCGCTGAGCTAAATCCCCAGCCCCTCATATAACTTCTCTTAATAATTTGGTAAAAATGATCACATGTGCAAGCATTTGAGTATATTTAATTTTGCCATAATAGCATTTAGAAAATAGTTCTTTCACATTATATTGGGGTTCTGTTGAAATTTTTAGTTTTCTTAATTTTGCAGCACATCTTGGGCCTCCATGATGGCTAAAAATTTCAGTGAAGGCGGGTGGGTTGGGCCTCAGGGTTTGGGTATTCGTTTTCCTATATGATATTTGGCCTTAAATATAAAAACATGCTTTAGCACTCCTGGTTGGCATTTTTTTTTTTTTTTCTGAGATGGGTTTTACTACACAGTTCAAGCTGGCCTTGAACTCACTTAGTAGCATAGGCTGGCCTAGAATTTGCATGTATTTTCCTGCCTCAGCCTCCCAAATGCTGGGATTACAGGCATGCACCACCACACTCTTTCTCCATCTCTAATCTTCTTTCCCTGTTTTTATTCTTATTGCTATTACTATTATTATTATTATTATTATTATTATTATTATTTTTTGGTCTTTTTGAGACAGGGTCTCACTATGCAGTTTGGGCTGGCCTTGAGCTCACTTTGTAGCCCAGGCTGGTCTTGAACTCACCATCACCCTCCTGCCTCAGTCTCCTAAATGCTGCCACTATAGGCATGTGCCACCATGCCCAGCTGCTTAGCATTTTTGATGCAGGTGGTGAATGTGATTTTTAGAGGTGTGTCTTAAAACAAAGGGTAGAAGAGTTTCTGTTTTCTGGCCTTTTAAGAAGTGCTTATTAGGTAGGTTCAGTGAATCACTAAGAAGGGCAGGGAGCTTAAGGAAAGAAAGGTGTGAGATCCTTTCCTTTATGAGTGTACATTATTAAAATGGCTAGAAATGGGACTCGATTGTCCCCTCTCTACAGGCACTTTACATTTCTTGCTGTGACTACAGCAACCACACACGTTACAGACAGCCGCATAGTCTATTTATATTAGTGTAAATACAAAACCATACACAACTTTTGGTTTTCTCTGCAGGCGTTTTTTAGAATGTAAAAAATATAGTGTATAGCTGCCAGTAGTTAGATCCTATAAATTAATACTGTGTCTAACATTTACAGTTTTTTTGTTTGTTTGTTTTTGTACTGGGGATCGAACTTACAACCTTTCACTTGCCAGGCAAGTCCTTATGCTGCTGAGCTAAATTCCCAGCCTGTGTTTAACATTTAAAGCTTCTTAATTTTAAGTTTAAATTCTGAAAAGTAGATTCGGAAGAATAAGAGAAATAGCTAAACTCTCCCAGCTAATGATGTACTTAATAATTAGGCCTAGAGTTTAAATCATATGTGTATTATCTTCCCTTTACCAAGAAGGGTTGTTGTGCAGATACTAGTTCAATCAGTCTAAATTGGAAAAGGCTGCCAAATGGACTCTGTATGTAATGCTTAATCTAAAGATGGCCTTAATTTATTCCCTATTCCATTTTTCTCCTTCATATTATTGAAAGGACAAATATCAGCATTAGATGTCTAAAGGCATTAGGAGTAAGACAAGCCTACTGAAGTGGATTTTTTTTTTTGAAGTGGATTTTAACAAATATCAAAATAATCAACTTCATGCCTTGACTGTGTAGGTGCAG